GCTCAGTATTTTTTTTTACAAATTACATAACAAATAACGTGTATGTACAGACTGTGTTAAATTCACGACACACCTTAGTGAGTCATATACCCATGAAGGGCTTACAACTTTCCTCTTCTTTTTACAGCCTGAACATTTTTCTTCAAAAGCAAACAGAGAAATGGCTAGACCAGATTTAAGAAATACATATAGAAATATATATTTCAAGGTTTAATATAATTATTATCTCCCAGAATTACTGAAATATCTTAATTATTACCAGTTTGACTGTTTGAACTGATTGACCACACTTGTTCATATTATCTAGGATCATCTCCTGGACTCCCACCAGGCAGTCACACCCGGTTTCCTGTGACAGTTTTTCAGATTACTTTGGCATGACCTTGAATACTTAGCACTTGACAAAGAACACGTTGCTGTTCTATGTGGGTTACTGATCTCCCTTAGTACAATGTGTTTGGTATTTTTATTCTCATTTAAACACTAATCATTCACAGTCTAGTCAGCCACTGCGATAATCTTGTTCTTACTATGACAGTGCCCTGTTTGATACAATAAAACATAAATCTTACCTAGATTGGACATAGTTTCAGTTATTAGAACACTGAACAGAACTTTTTTTTTATCCTATAAAACAGCTGTCCTTTAAAAACATTTTCTTACTTCCTCATTTCTGCACAACTATAAACAATTGTATCAGCACAGTTTTTGAAAGTGGACTTACTACGTAAATTATATTGCAGCTGTCTGATTAGGGAGGAACTGCTTACGTACTGTATATTCACTCATGGGTAAATTATGGCTCTTTGCTTCTTTTTAACTCTGACCCACAACCTGTGAGTCAACGTCAAAGTATGTATTATCTGTTTTATTGTGTCAGATTATTTTAATACCACATAACAAATTTTACAGGTAAAAGGATACATTCCTCCTCTTGAAAATAGGTCTCAGCTATCTGAAAAGGAAAAAAAAAAAAACAAACAACAGGAAAATTAGCGTTCCTTCATTTTTATGAGAGTGGCAGGGATATAATTTGAACTTTTCATTATAGATTTAAATGTCTGCTTTGCAGATTCATATTTAATTTTGAGAGAATAGAAATATTTGGACTAAATGCACATACTCATTCTAATTCTCATTCTAAGAAAGATGCTTAAAGAGAATATCAAACAAAGATATCACAAGTTTACCTGCACAAATGAATTTGCTCAAATATATGTTGGGTTTTGTCTTGTTACAACAACATTTATTTCAGCAATTTTTAAAAATGATTATATTAGAAAGTTATAAAATGACAGAAGTACATGTGTTTAATGATAGATGAGTTTTATTTCTGACCATGATGTAAGATCATTGTTGAGCTCTCCTGAGCATTACAGTGCAATGTAATGAAATGGAGAAGTAGAGACTTCCTGGCTAATGAGAAAACAACAATCTCTGGATCAAAGACACTGAAAGTAAAACCTACAGCAAGATCAGAGATATACCAGCAAGCTTCCAGTTTATACCCCATTTACAACATTTCAGATTTTAAGCATTTGAAATTCATGAGATAAACATGAGAGGAATGAATTTCTTCTTTTTTTTTTGTTACTCCCAGTTCACCAGCAGAATCCAGACAATAGCAATGCAGGAACCTTCTTCCACTTTCTTTCATGAAGCTACTCTTCTCTGTTAAAAAGATCTAAAGACTCTCTGCTTCTTATGTCATTTCCCAAAGCATAGCACCTTGGAATCTGAAGCTCTTTCAGAATAGAGCAGGTCATATAGTTCAGCCAGACAGCAGCTGTTTGATTAGAATTGTTGCTAAAACTGACATTTCTATAATTAAAACTGGGTTTGTAACAGGACAGCTCTACCAAAGAAGACCATCCCTCCCCTCTGACAAATAGTTTTAGAAATTTACAACATGAAAAACTTATTTGTGCTTGCCAGAAAAGTAGGTAGACTTTTCTTAGAAATCACAAGAATTGTGATGTGCTTTTTGGTAAATGCAATATAAAGCTCAGAAGTAAAAACGTGTTTTTCAAACATCCCAATACAGATTGCTTGATATGTCTTAGGAAGAAAGAGAATGTGTTTGGTTGACATGTTTGAATCTGGAAACCCAGACTGCGTTTTCAGTCCTGTCACAGTTTCTGTGTGACTTTGAAAAGGTTGTTGGCCTTAGGGTTTGGCTTCCTCACGTATGAAGCTGTGAACAGATTTCATCTCTATTGCGGTCAATGACACTCCTTCACGTTTGTCAAGAGTTTTGAAATTCTTGCCCTAACGGTATTGTTTTCCAAAGTAGATCTTTGTACTGACTCATAGATAAACACCAAATTTGACGTGGCTGTAAGTACAAATGGTTAACCTTAATGCTAAGTTTCAAATAAACTAAGGAACAGTAAGAAATAACTTCACTTAAGTACAAATCTTAAAAAAACAAAACAAACAAAAACCAAAAAACCCCTCCTATGTTAAATGTGAAGCATCTGGAAGAAGAAGCCTCTCCTACCATCATCTCTCATCTCAGTCAAAAGAGAATAAGAATGCAGGTGCACTAACATAGTGAAAATATTTAAAATATTACAGTGGCCCAATTTTCCACAATAAGGACAACGTAACTAAGTCAAGTCAGACACTATCATGTCTCTTTGAGTCACTTCAGCCAAACAAAAAGTATTCCAGCCCACTGTTAGTCCAACACAACAGAACTATGCATTAATAGTGCACTGAGTCCTAGCCACATACTTTTCAAAGTGTGCTTTTCAAATTACACAGTATTTCTCTCGGTAGTGCAGATGTGGTGACTGCGAGAAAAAGTATATACTAAGGAATCTTGAATCTTAGCATTCACATATCAAGTTCAAGCTAGGAAGAACTCTGCAATAGCAAAAATAATTCCTGGTGCAAAATGTGATTTAGACATCAGCCATCTGCATTTCTGTGTCCTAAATACTCCACTAGTGTCCTACATATCATGCAAAGCCTGTCTTTAAGAGTTTCCTTCAACAGCAGAATGTACTTCTGAGACAGCTTATAATTTAATATATATATATTAGAGTGGACATATTTGCCTTCATTCTCTGTTAAGCAGAAAAACTTGAAAATACACTGCCCAGATATGAATACTGACATATGTTGAATCAATGCATCTTTTTCCCACTGAGAAAAAGTCACAATCACAAAGTGGTGTGCAGCAATCCAGAATCATAGGAAGTACCTGATGGAGACACAGGGGCAGTGTCTTTGAATCCAACTGCTCGACCTCTTCACGAAGCAAAGAGAAAAGGGACTGCAACGTTTGTTTTTGTTCTTTTTGGTGAGAATTTTCATTTGCTTCAACAGCACCTTCAGAATGCACAGACTCTGTATGTGTAACAAGAGTATTTTCCTCCTTGATTGCTGTGGTTCCCACTGAAGGAACTCCTTTAAAAAGAACAAGTACTCAGGTTAGGATTCAAAAAATACGCTGATCTGCATTTTTAGGAAATTTCAATACAAAAGCTGTGAATAAAATCTTATTATCTTAAATAATAGCCCTGCAAGTAAATAAGACATCGGTCTTGTCAAAATTAGTTGCAATCGGTTTCAATGTCTCAATGTCAGCTCACCTACCTGGAAAGACACAGTGACACACATCAGCTATTTTTGTACACTACTAACTGGGACTCAACTTTAACTTGGAATGAAAAAAAAAATCACCTAGCCTAAACTGTTTTAGAGTGATTAAAAAGAGACCAGAATCCAAACTGAAGTGTTGTGGCTCACATTATTTTCAGCAGCTGAAGTCAATACTTAGGTGCTCAGACCCAAGACACCAAATTTCTGTTTTAAAACAGGTGAAAAGTTTTGCTCTGAATGGACTGAAAGAAGAAAAGGAAGAACAGTGAGTTCCTGAAAGGCAGGGAATGCTTTGTGTTGAGTAAGTACTCTGGTGGTGGCCACCTACTTCCAGGAAAGAGCTTTGTTGACTTGCTGAGACAAATGCCTGGAGAATGCATTGAATGGCTATGTCATGTAGGCTCTTGGTGGGTGTCTTCATGCCTGCTAAGGAGCTTGTAAAGGGAGAAGTCCAGGGAAGGAAAGGCTCATGCTGAGAAGGTGAATTCAACCTGTTCTTTGGATGACAACACAGCGTATCCTCACAGTGATGACAGGAACTTAAAGGATAGAAAGAAGCAGATGATGTGGGAATTCTGCTTGCACTGGCAAGGATTGTGCTGCTGAGTGAAAACAAAAACATCCCTTGATAGCAAGATTGTTTGGGAGTCCAGGAGACGAGCCAGTAATGATGATCCCCTTTGGCACCAACAACATAAGGAATTTAATGAACAGAATTTCTGTCTAGGCAGGAAACCAGTACTTCCCAATCCATTGCTGCCTGTCTACCACTTTTACAGAAGTAAAAAAAAGGCAGGTACTTGGTGAATGACTGGCAATGAATGTGAAGTATAATGTAAAGCGTGACAGCACAAAAATATTGCAGGAAAAAAATTCAGGGCATAAATTCTGTATTTTATTTTAGAAATGCAAAGTTACCAATGCATTGGAAGAGAGGTTCTTGAAGGACTGGAAGAAAGAGTAGGACTTGATGGTCGCTTTTCAAAATGGAGAAAAGTCAGTGGTGGGTGGGATACTCATGGACCGTTTTTACTGAGTATCTTCATCTCCTTCTCCAAGTCAAAGATGGCCAATGAAATCTCAAACTGTGCAAATGACAAAGGTCTTTTGGGCAGTCAAATATTGCATGAATGGTGATGAACTTCAGAAGGACCTCAAGAACTTGAGCTGACAAAATGATGGCTGATGAGCTGCAGTGTAGGTAAAACTAAACTATTGCCTGTTGTATGGCCTGAACCTCTGATCGATCACCTGAGGCGAGCAATGCTCAGCCACGGGAGCACAGCTGAAGGCAATTCACCTGTGCTGCCAGAAGGGGTGGAGCCTGGCTGCACCTCTCCTAGACTCCTTTAAGAGCTGGCTACCAGGGGGGAAGGGTCTTTTCTGGAGATCCCTCATCTAGAGTTTTGCAGTGAGTCCAGGATGTGGGTAAGCATACTATCTATTCTCTTTTTGTTATTATAACCTGCTTACCCAGACTCTCTTGTTTATTTCATGATTATAACTTCTGTATATTCATTGATTATACAGATGTATAATTCCAATTTCAAAACCAGATAATAAAACGAAGGAAAGCTCTAAGAGTCATTGGTAGCTCTGTGGAATCACTAGAATATGAGCATCATCTCCCAAAAAACTCCATATGAAGAGAAAGGATCTCTTGCAGACACATTTATACTATCATAAAGCTCTGCGAAAGTGCTTTGATTGGTAAGTTTGTTCCTTTAAGTGAACCAGTTTTACCACAAAGCTTGGCTTTATTTTTGCATAGCAGGCTACTTTGCCATTACAGAACATACTGTATTGGTAAAGAGTAGGTGCCTACCCAGTCCTAAAACAATTGATTTCTCAATTCATGAACAACTTATTTTTCTCTAATAATGAAATGTATTTGATATCTTTAGAGAGGACATAATTTTACAAATTTATGAACTTTAGATATTTGTTTAAATATCAGCATTATTTCAAATGGTGAAATTGCTGTAAGTGAATAATGTCCATATTATGAACGAAGTATGGCGTGGCCTAAAGTGAAAGTTAGAGTTAGCCATTAAAGATTATGGTCAGCCAAGACTGACGCTGCTTTTTCCATATAGAAGTGCATCTTGTTCTTAGAAAGCAGTACACTCAGTACACTTAGTACACTCAAGAGTCTCTGAAAGGAGCCAATTCCATTTTGGAAGAAATTGTGAAATACTTCTTCAATTTGAAGAATAAAAAAAGCAAACAATGCTATTTCTCAGAAAACACATTCTGAGTGTTGCTGCAGAAAAACTGTAAGCTACTGATTAATGAAAAGCCCAACACTGTACATAACAACTGATAGCAGTAAAGTGTAATAAAGGAGTAAATAAAGAAAAAATGAAAAGAACAACACAAGCTCCACCAACTTTCCCCCCAAACCCAGTGACAGCACCATGACTATTTTTAGTGCCGGCAAATATGTATGTGAAATTAAAGACTTCTTGAAATTAAATTAATTAGACAAAATACAAAAAGCAACTTGCACAGATAGACGAACTCAAATACACTGAGACTTGTGCAATCAACCTGTATTAACATGGTAAGCATGTTCTTCCCAAACCACATCCATTTCTGAGAACTCATCAGCTAAAAGCACGCGGGGCCACATCAAGTTAACCCCTTCCCAACAATAAACCTCACTTTCTGTAATCATTTAGATTCTGTTGTTCCTGCAGCTCAAGCACTCAGCATATTCCAAATTCCTTTGTGTTCACTGCAACTGACACCCTACAGTGATGATCCAGGTTTAAGATTTAGAGGTTAAGAGGTTAAGGCACTGAATGTCAATGGAAGGCTCCATCATTCTATTTTTGTTTATTTATAAACTCTTTATTGTAAACTATCCAGGTCAGGAGTCCTAACAATCTCTGTGGGTGGCTATTTTCGCAGGGCTTATTGCCAGACAAAATATGGGTGTAATTTAACATTGCTTTTTCATTATTGATGTATGCCTCTGCTTTTCCAATATTTACTCGTGCTTGCTATGACCAAATGCAACAAGGGACATAACTGGGTGCAAGGAACAAACCAGGAGGTGTTTTTAGATAGAATGAAGGCTATATTTAAGAAGAGATGCATACTTATTTATTTTTTTTTCAGCACGTGGTCATGAAACACAAAAAGAGGACCCAGATGTTTTAGCAAACCTACCTCAGGAGAAAAAAAGTAACTTAAAAATGCACTTTAATAAGCAGTTAATAATCAGCTGTCACATCAAAACATGAAACATGCTCAATAGCAACTACCACAAAACCCCTTCAGTTTAATGTTGTTGTGGTACCTCTACTACATAGTTAGACACTGCATATTGTTCCTGCATATAGTTGAGCTGTCACTCATTTGGAATCCAGTTCTGCCCTTGGATTTAAAACAATACATCAGAGTCATTCAGGTTAATTCTACCTTGCTTTATTTTAAATACAAGACAATATTTGCACCTTAGTAACAACATAACCAAGAACATTTCCTGAGGCTGCAACACTTAGTAATGTTATTTTATCATGAAGATGTTATGGGCCGAGATCACTCTTCATTTACTTATCCTCCATGTTCTTAAAAAGAGCACAAAACACCATTTTCTCTTGGAATCCAATCTTAATGTCCAAAGCACCTGTTTTTTGGCGTTCTTTTAATTGTTTCCTAAAAACAGGTATCTTATGTATATGTCTGATACTTGAAGAAGCAAAGGTGGAAGGTTTTTTCACTTTGCAAAACATATTGGGGAAAAAAAAAAAAATTCACTTCAAATATTTCATTTTCAAGAGAGAAGCTTTTTTTCAGACAACAGGAGTATTTTGTAGGGGAACAGATCATTAAAGATCTATATTATATCTATTACAGATCAATAAAGATCTAACTATATGTGAGTGAGCTCAAAATCATGTTTATCACAACAAACAAGTAAAATGACACTGCATGGCTCTTCCTACAATTCACGTATTTCATTTGCAGTAACTCCAAATTTATCCCAACCACTTCACTTTCTCCCCATCATTTCTGTCCACATATCTGCATTACATTATTTTTAAATTTCCCTGCTGTTACCAATTACTTCATCCAATCTCTTGTTTTATTTTCTTCTCTTTTTAAATATAAAATCTACACTTGAAAGATATACTCACTGATGTTCTGTATCACTTAATGAGCAATTCTCCTCACAATGACATATTTTGGTATCCTCTTATCTTTACTAGAAAACATAATTTTTCTCTTCTAGATCTTGCCTGTATGTAAAAGACATGGAACACAAAACTTCCTTTTCATTGCTCCACGTATTTTGCAACCCTCTCAGATCATCATTTTTCAGAATTAGGCCATAAAGACACAAGTCATTTGTAAAACTGTACTCTACTATTTTTATTCCCCTAACTCCCCATCTTCTCAGCTTTTAGAAGGGAAAAAAAAAAAAAAGAAAAACCGCAAGAGTGACTAAATTGCTCCAAGTAACTCTCAAAGATACTGATGGGATGAAACACACTGAATTTAATTAATGTATTTGTAGCACAATGTCACATAAGCTTTATGATCTATGGCACAAACTTAATATGCATGTTGATGCAGACAAATCCTACTCCTTTGAAAAGGAAGAAACGTCTCAAAAAAGGACATGTAATAAACTTCTACATATTCCTTCCCCAGTTCAGATGCAAAATATCTAAAGGAGAAGTAACATCAAAACACTTAAGCAACTCAAAATACTTAAACAACTCATTACTTGAAATGCACATCCTGAGACTACATACCAAGCTTTAAATTCTGACAGCAACAGGTCTAGACATTATTCATACCAAGATTTAAAATCATGACTCTGTATCCAGACACCAAAATCTTGCACTTGAGCACTTCAGCAACAACATAATGCCTGAATTTCTGGCCACTCTGATTTGGAAGTCAGCCCAATTTCCATACTGAAAGTCTGTACTTGCTCGACTCATCCTTCCATGATGTGTTTCATTTGTTATATAGCTGATTAATTAAAATATATGCAATTAAAACATCTAGAATTTAATCTGATTTAGTAATTTTGAAGTAGAAAAAAAAAGCTAAATGAATTTTAAAAATAGTTAATATGGCACATAAAACCTATCTTTATTACTAGTTCACAGATTAAAACTATAGATTTATTTTTTTTAAGTAAACAGAACAGAAGCATATTTTTTAGAAAGTACCTTTAGTTTTTTTACTGGAGCTTCTTTTGCTTCTTGGACTTCTTTTTCCACCTGGCTGTTTTTCTGTGATAGGCTTTTCCTCCAGCTGAGGGTCCATATGGACATTCACAGATCTCCTCTCAGTCTCACTTTCCTTACAATCTCCACTGTCCATATTCTCATTATTATTGATACTGTCCTGCTCACCTTCATTCTGTCTTCCCATAGCAATTCTACTACCGGTCAAAACTTCATTCCCATCATTGTCAAGTTGATTTTCATTTTCGTCAGCTGTAGAAACCAAATGAGAGGTCAAACATTCGACCCTATAGTCAGCAGGAAGACTGTCCTTTGAGTCTATTTGTAGATCATTTGGTGGAAATTCTCTGTCGTCCATCAGAGCGTTACTTGTTGAACCACTTAATCCTCTTCCAGATATTTTTAGACCTAAAATACAAAACCACAAGAAGCATTTATAAATGGTACTATAATTAAGCTCATGCTTAATTCCAGTCAATAAAGAATCACATTAGCAAAGTGATATAGTTTAAAGGCATGGGGAAATTCTTTCAAACAGCAACCCATTGCCCTGCTGGAAGTTTTGTAAAGCAAACCTAACTACATACAACAATGACCTATAAATTTCTATTTTCATGCAATTATTATTGGTTCAAGTTACGTGACTAATAGCATAGCTGATCTTCACAGCAGTGCACAGTGTTATAACTGAAGTAACACGAAAAACCAAAAGATAACAAAAAGCACCACCTCCACTTACATCCGTGGCCAAAATAAAAACATTATTATCGCGTAAGATCACAGTTTGTCTGAAATAAAAATAAGCCAGGAAGAAACAAAAGCCAAACAACTTTCATTTCTGTCACTCATGGCACCACACCAAACATGTAGATAGGTTAATTCTTTTACAAGATCTAGATGCAAATAGAACCTGTTTATTGACTCAGATTGTCAGTTTATTTTCAAGAGAACATTCAACATGTCTTCAGTATACACACAGGCAGATGGTTTGCTAATAAAAAAATAAATCCACCAACTACTCTCAACAGGGGTCAATTTTCCCTTTTAGTGAACACGCAGCTCTAATCAATGCTGCAATTAAGCACACAGTTACAAGAAAAAAGCATAACCCTTCATGTGGTACTCACAGAGGACTTTATTATTTGGTTTCCTCGGAAACCAAATAATCCTATATGCTAGGATCCTATCCTATAAATATATTTATATCCTATAAATATGCTTCCTTTTAGAAGCATAGAAATACTGTTGGTTTAACTTAGCAACTTGATGAAATGCAGCTCTGTTAGGTACATCTCATTAGATTTATCTCAAGCATTTTAAAAATTAAAGCAAAAAAATGGCTAGCAGTCTTGTTATATGGAAGAGCTTTGACAAGGTTCGTAAGGTAGCTTCCTATCCTTTCCTTCAAAGGAAAAAGCGTTTTAGGAAAACTGTTTCACTGAATTCTTAGGTATTGTGATCTGGAATATACAACTGAAATAACTAAAATGCACATTTGCTAAATATGCAACATATTGTTTCATTTTATTTGCTAGAAGAATTCAAATTGCATTATAAAAATGAAAAAATGCCAGGGAGAATATATAAGCATTCTTCTTTAACCTTTGTAGTTGCTTATAGGACTTGAAAAAAGAAAACATCATTCTCATCTTAGGGAAGACAAGGAGAAGGATCCAGCTATGGGCTGCTCAACCTCACCTCAATCCTTGTAAGATGATGTAGAAGGTAATCCCAGAAGTCGTTTTCAAATATGTATAGGACAAGAAGGTCATAAAGAGTACTCAGCATGGGCTTAAGATGGATAAATGGCACTTAATCAACTTAATAGTCTTCTGTAATGATGTGACCAGTTCAGTAGATAAGAACGGTGGATACCATTTGTCTTGACTTTGGAAAGGCTTCTGACACTTTCTCCCATAACATCCCTATAGGCAAAAGTACAAAAAAAAGGCTACATAGACAGTGAGGTGAACTGAAAACTGGCTGAATGTCTGAGCACAGAGCACTGTGTTCAGGTGACTGAAGGTTGCAGACCAGTGACCAGTATACATCCAGAAGCTAAGAGCCAAGCCAGTACTGTTTACCCCTTCATTAATGACCAAGGTGATAAGAAAGTCAATCTACACTAAGTTTGATGATGATACAGGGGGAGGTTGTGCTGCTGTTCACAAGGACCTTGACAGGCTGAAAACAAATGGGATGATGGGAACTTAATGAAGTCTTACAAAGGAAAATGCAAAGTCCTGCATGTGGGAAGAAATAACCTCATGCACTAGTACAGACTGAGGGTCACCCAGATGGAAAGTAGCCTGCAAAAATGGCCTCGAGGTCCCTGCAGGCAGCAGTTGATCACCAGCTAGCAAGAAACCTTTATGGAAAAGATGCCAGCAGCATCTTGAGCTGCATTATGATAAGCAAGTCAAGGGAGGTGATCCTTCCTCTCTACTCAGCACCGGTGAGATCCATCTTGCTGGGTCCAGTCCTAGGCTGGCCCTTAGCAGAAAAATATGGACATACTGAAGCAGCTCCAGGACAGGGCCAAAGAGAGGATTAAGAGTCTGGAGCATCTGTCAGAGGAGGTGAGGCTGAGAGAGCTGTAATTGTTCAGCCTGCATAGGCTCAGAGAATTTATCAACATATATAAATATAAAATGAGGAAGTAAAGGAGATGCGTCAGATTCTTCTCAGAGTCTCTTTCTCAGAGAAAGGAGTAGAGGCAATTAACACAAGCTAAATATAAGAAATGCTAAACATAAAAATTAGTTTCAGTAGTAAGGTTGATTGAACATTGGAAAGGTGTTACCCAGAACAGGTTGTGAAGTAGCCATCCTTGGAGATTTTCAAAATGCAACTGGACGGAGTCCTGAACAATCCACTCCTCTTTCTTCACTACATCAAGTATTCTGCCCCTCTGTGACTGCCCTCT